TGCGAAGGAAGCCCAAAAAAGAGAAACCATCAATCTTGAAAGCATCCTCGCTGATGTTTTCTTCGACAAAGTATTCTGATTCAACTATTTTTGAAATTATTGCGGTCATTTTACGTAAGCTAGAGGTGAAAAATGGGGAAGTCTTAAGTTTCACGCGTCAAGTAGAGAGGATTGTCATTCTGTAGAATCTACCGCATGAAAAACATTTCACGTGCAATTTATTTTATAGGTGCATATATTTCGTTTCTAAAAAAGTATTTGAAAAGGTAAACTGTTGTCTGTTTTACCAGCGGGAGTAAGAATCGTTCTACGGGCTTCCATTTCCATAAAGCACATTTAACCTGCCTGAGAAGCTCTTGTATACTTTGGATTTAAATAAAAGTGGAAAGCCACAGTTCAGGCCAAAAGCAGGTATTTCAGATGATTGGAAAACGGAATATAGCGTCGATCTCAACTTTTAATTTATCTTATTAGCATAATTAAGTGCTCATAACGTAAAATTGGAAATTCATGTCAGCGCTCAAAACGGCGTTTACAAAAGGAAATACCTGAGTAGAGAGTGTTCTGAAATTTAACGGCTTTATTTATTTATGCTTCCTATGATCATTACAGTGATAGTTTTTCAAGCAAATTCTCAAAAGTGTCGCTTTTTAGGTTCGCAGCCGAGTTGTAGAGTTGGCGAAGTCGCCGATCAACTTTGCAGGGCGATCATCTTCTCAGACCATAAATTTCTTGAAAAAAGAAATGCGGCCAGTAATCCAGAAATACTTGAAAGATGATACAAAAACGAAGGTACAGCTGGATGTCTGAGTCGAAATATTCACCATTTCTGGAGCTAGTGCAAACAAGTCCTGTCCTTTTTGTTTGTGCCAGCTGCTTTTGAACAGACAAATTAGGAGATCGTACAAGATTGCGAAAAACAAAGAAGACAAAATTTTCTTTGAAGACTTTCTAAAAAAGACTATTGAAGCACTCTTCAGGTCAGGGATTACAGAAAAATTTGATTATTTTGGGGCAAAATTGGTTGAACCGGGATGAAAAAGAGCCTGTAGCACTTCTTCTGCTAAGAAATGTTGTTTAATTTTTGAATCTTACATGTTGTTAAGTTTCGCTTTAAAACGGCTAACATTTTTGATTGTTTTGTAACAAGTTATCCAACACTTCACTTTTATGTTCTCTCCACTCCAGTACATCCACTCATTCCGGCTTTTTTGTTTTTATATTCTTAGCTGAATGGTTTTTATTTTCTTTCCTTCAAGATACGACACCAACAACTACTTCTGATCGCCCTTTCAGTTTGCGACATTGATCAGTCGCTTGATTCTCCCAAAAAAGTTAGCATGTTATGAAATGTTTTCTTTAGCTGTTTCGTTTTCATCCCTACATAAACATTATCACACCATATCGAATGATCGGCATCCATCCGCTATGCTCCATTTATTTCTGTGAAAACTTGATTAATGAATCCCCCGATACACCAGTCGTTGGTGGCCAGTTCAGCTTTGTTTTTATGCTGTAAACGTTGCAGACTACATGCATTCCTCTAAAATCGGGACTAAAAAACATTTTCGCTGAAGCGACATTTTTCGGTTTCGTAAAATCGCCCGTCGCTTTGCAGGTCTGTTATTCTTCTCCTATTCGTATCAAGCACTGGATTCTCGTAAAAGCCGATTTTTGCATATCATCATTAACTAGGCTGCGACATACAAAGTTTACGGGGCGATCATGCGTTTCTGAGCTGAACTTGAAGCAGTCAAATCGTACGTAAACAACATGAATGGTTCCTGCATTGCAGTTTAACGTGTGAACTCATCTTGGAGTGTTTTGGCCTTTTCTTGCACACAGAGAAGAAGAGGCGTTGGCCAGGATGATAATGTTGCATCTTGGGGCCGCATGAACTTCAGACGTGCGCATGATTATCAATTTTGCATGAAGAGGAACAAATAGTTCCCAGTGACCGGTGATTCATCGAAAAATGCAACTTGGACAGTGAACAAGATGTCGAGAGAGAGGGATTACGAAATCCGCAAAATGCACTCGCTTTTGAGGTTGTGACAAAACTAAATGTTTATTGTGTCCGTGCGCGGGCAAATTACTTCTAAATTGAATTTAAACCACAATTGAATGTGGAATATTACAGCAAATTTTCAGCTTCATAGCTTATCTAGTGAGTGAAATCGCCACTTCGCTACAAATTTTTTTGACATACTCTAAGGCATGGCACCAGTGCAAACTAAAACTCAGTTTAGGTGTACCATTTGCCAGGTGGACGACAAATATCCTGACTGCGTTACAGCTATTCTTTTTCGGCTAATTTTTGAGTTTGGGTCGTGCCAACTTGCGTACATTCTGCATCATACTGTGAACTTTATGCATTTCTACGGACAATTTGTAGTCGCACGACGAGCATTGCTTTCATAGTGCCGTTCATAAAGAATTATATGTGAAAGTGCAGTGAGCTTTATGAATGCTTATTTCTCATTCTCTTGTTATCCGAATGTTCGTGTTTTCTTTTTTCCCTCCGCAAAGTTATTATTTACACGGACTAATGCAATTTTCATGCGCATAATTTGTGTGCTGTTCGTTATTTCTTACTTTTAGCAGACTGTATTACCCCAAGTTTTGCCCATGCTCATTACCAAGTGTATGTGTTTTGATGCATTTTGAGCAAAAATGCTGCGCTTCATTTCACGTTGAAACTAGGTTGTCGGCGTGTTATGTGCAAATTGTGCTCTGAGTAAGGATTTGAGAGCCGAGATGGGCTGTGATAAAAACTTATAGCGTAGATGCATAAGTACGAAAAAAAGTTCGCCCTGTTGTTGTCTAACACCACTTTTACTAACTGAAATTATTACTTTCTGTGGTTCTGACTGCAAATGCGACGTTACTTCGGGAACTTCCAATTTTTGATGCTGAAGCTTTACGCTAACAGCTCGTTTTTGTTCTTTTTGTTGCACTAGCTTACGACATAGCCCTGTTTTTTACCGCATACATTTTTATCTTTTATCCGGGTGGATCACTTCTATTGTTTGTTTGTTCTTTACTAGGAACAGAATGCTTTTAAACTTTCTGTTTAATTTCCAGGAGTTTATTCTTACCAGGGAAGTGTGAATTAAATTTTCCATGTTTGTCTTTGTTTTTGCATTTCCTTCATTCTCGATCATCCCGTTACCATCAAAATTGACGCAGAGGACCAGAAATCGCTGCTGGAAGAAATATAGAGTAAAAATTTTTATGGGATAAGTGTTTACGTGTGTGGATCGCTGTGTGGCATGGTGCTCTGAGCGTACGCGCACTGTAGAGAAGCGAAATCAAGTTTATGACTTACTGATAATAAATCGTGCAAACAGCAAATAAACAGCACGAAGTGTGGCGCTTATAATCTATCGAGTCTGTGAGCTTGCCGAGCAAGAGTCGTTATGACAGAGCATGGTCGATGAGGGCCAGGAGTATATGAGAAGAGGTCGATTCCTTGAAGAGTGCGTCGAGAAGACTTGGTGCCACGGTACGGTGAAGAAGAAGAAGACTGAGAGCCGTTGTCCCGGAGGAGTGAAAACTGAGCCCCCGAAGAATGGTGGGAAGATTTATAAACGGTGGAGGAGCCGCCACAAAAGAGGATGTGATAGTTTTTTGGAGGGGTTGGAAATGTGAAAATGATAATTAAGGTAAAGTGAAATGTGAATAGGAAAAACGGAAATGAAGGTTTTTAAGGGGATTAAAAAAAAGGGAATGAAAAGCAAAATAGGAAAGTAAAATGGCGGGGGATGCAAACGCATTTCAAAATAAGAGCAAAATGGGACAAAGGGGACGAATGTAGAATTAGGTTTTTAAGGGTGTAAAAAAAAGGAAGGGCGAAAATGTAGGGGACTGTAAACACGAAAGAATGCAAATTGCATTATGATTCATAGGGCAAAAGGGGGAAAAGAACAAAGAAAAAAAAATATTATATAATTTGTATTAAGAACAGTCTATTTTACAATAGCTTCATCACATAAACAGTAACAAGTTGAAGGTTGTTGCTATCGTCATTCTCGCAGCATCGAATAGAATCGTATTCACAAACGTTTCAACTAATTTGGGCATCTACATGCCAAGAAACACTTCAAGGAGTCCAAAGCATGCAAAGAAAAGGAAAAAAAAAGGATTCTTTCAGCTCAAAAAATATGTTTCGAACATTTCTGTTACCTCTTATTTCCTTCGCGAAGCCATGAAGTCGAGCGTTTCCAGATGTGTGTTCTCCAGTCCCTGTTTACGTTCGCGTTTGTTCTACTCATCTTTTGGCAATTATTGGTTAATCTGATTGATCATGGTAATCTTGGTTTCGAAATTGCCACGTTCGGCACTGCTGCCCGTTATCGGCATTTACAAGAAACGCAAACAAACAGCAAGTGTAATAGTACCTCCAAGAAACGGCCTGTCCTTTCCCTGAATTTTTCCAGGCTTCTGTCCTTCAATTCCGGAAAGAAATCGTCCTCTTCCATCCTTTCTGTTCATCAGAAAACAGAGTGAAATTTCAACACCTGCTTCTAAAGTTCTATCCAACACTGGGATATATATTTGTAGTTGTACCTAACGAATGTTAAAATCTTGAAGGAACATCGAATTTCTAAACTGTCCACATTTCTGACATCCCAGGAACGAGAACGAAAAAATTCATTTTTGATCCTTAATGCGGTGTCCACTTGTAAACTTCATTCACGAGAATTTTTGACGTCATACTTTCTACCTATGCGCCAGCGGTGTTCGCGGAACATGTTACTGATTATCGTACACTAAAAATCATACAAAAATACACGAACGATTAATTTGGCTGACTTTTATCAAAGCATTTGACGAATCGACTGATGCCACAGCGATTCTTTTCACATGTGGCCTTTGTTCTTACCTACAGTGTTATACGTACTTTCGGCCCCGTCGCTGCGACATTCACACAGTTTGAAGGTTATTTGACGCTGTTCTTTTGGGCATGAACTGCCTTCAGATTGTTTCTCGAGTCATTCTCGAAAGAGGGAAGCAACAGCCGCTTCGGTTTACTGCACTTCTGTGCA